CAGGAGCCGTCCGAGCGCCGAGAGCCGGCGCTGGCGACAATGGCGGGCGGGCGGAGGCAGAGGCGCGGGCCGGCCGGCGGGCGAGCGCTGCTGCTGCCCGCTGTGCTGCTGTGCCTGTGCTGCCGGGCGGCGCCGGAGCGGCTCCGCTACGCCATCGCCGAGGAGCTGCCCACAGGCTCGCTCGTGGGGACGCTGGCACGGGACCTGGGGCTCAGCCCGGACGAGCTGCCGGCGCGCAAGCTGCAGGTGGCGTCTGCCGGCAAAAGGCAGCTGAAATACTTCACCGTGAACGAGGAGAACGGGAACCTGTACGTGAGCGAGAGGCTGGACCGGGAGGAGCTGTGCGGCAAATCGGCGTCCTGCTCCATCAGCTTCGAGGCGCTGGTGCACAACCCGCTCAACTTTTTCCATGTTGATGTGACAATCGAGGATGTGAACGACAACTCCCCGTCTTTCAGCAAGGCTGCTTTGGAACTCGAGATCGGCGAATTAATTCCACCCGGTGCCCGTTTTCCTCTGGAGATGGCACAAGATACAGATGCAGGAAGGAACTCGTTGTTGAGTTACGAGCTCACCAGCAACCCATCCTTCTCTCTTGCTCTGAAGGAGAGGCCGGGTGGAAAGAAGCAGCCGGAATTAGTGCTGGAGAGAGCATTGGATCGGGAGAAGCAGAGTTCTTTTGAGCTGGTGCTGACGGCAGTGGATGGAGGGGACCCTGCGAGGTCCGGGACTGTTCAGGTTCGCATCAACGTGACGGATGCCAATGACAACCCACCCGTGTTCAGCAAAATACTGTACGAGGCACGAGTGGCGGAGAATCTGCCAGCGGGGTCGCTGGTCCTGCAGGTGCGGGCCACAGATGCGGACGCGGGATCCAATGGGCGGGTCTTCTTCTCCTTCGGTAACGTGCCGGGCGAGATCCGCGAGTTGTTCACGGTCGACAGCGAGAGCGGCGAGATCAGGACTGCGGGTCCCCTCGATTTCGAGAAGAAGAGTAAATACAGCTTTGAACTGGAGGCGACGGACGGAGGCGGGCTCACTGATCACTGTGAAGCGCAGATAGATATCACAGACGAGAACGACAACGCACCCGAGATCACGATTCTGTCGTTATCGAGCCCGGTGCCCGAGGACGCGCCGGTCGGCACCGTGGTGGCCCTGCTGAACGTGAACGACCCCGACTCCGGCGAGAATGGTGAGGTGTCGTGCGAGCTGTCGGGAGAGGCACCGCTGTCGATCGTGGCGTCGTCGGGCGGCTCGTACAAGGTGGTGACGGCGAGCGCGCTGGACCGCGAGCAGGCGTCCGAGCACCGCGTGACGGTGGTGGCCCGGGACCGGGGCAGGCCGGCGCTGTGGAGCGAGGCGGAGCTGGTGCTGGAGGTG